ATATATATATATATATATATATATATATATATATATATATATATATATATATATATATATATATATATATATATATATGTTTAAATTAAATTAAATTTAAATACATTTTTTCAATTAGTAAACGAAAGCATCAAATAAAACAAGTATTTAAATTATTGAGTGTGTTATTGTTGATTCCCTAGTAACTTGCAAATGTAACTTAGCATCGCCCTTGCTCGGGTACGCATATTATATGTAAACTTACCTCCATTCGGCTTTCAGTTTTCCGGAGATGGTTTGAAGCAACATTGATTTTAGTAAATTCATAAATTTGACGAACTTTTCGGAAATATAGGACTTGTCTTGTACCAATGCGGCATTGTGAGTTGAAAATTCGATAACTTGGGCAGAAGGATCAAGATTTGGCCAATATTTTTCTACTTGCGAGGTAATGTACTGCTTGAATTCGTCAGCATTTTTGACATTCCGATCCTTTTTTACCTGGTCCCATTTGTTATAAACGAACAAGGCCTTCTCAAAAACAAAGTTTCCAGGAGAAAGGTTCTTCACACAATTGAAAATTCTTACGATCTGAAATGGAAGGATCATTCCCATTAAATACGCTATATCCCCGATAGAAGCGATATTTATGGATTCAAATTAGGAGTGTGATTTTCATACATTTATTATACTAGATGTATGATACATTTACATTATAATATTAGACTAGAAAATACATGCATGCACAAGCCCCTCGCCTTGCTGACAAAACCATTGTATTTTCCGAACATGAAGTATTTAAAGTAGTTGTTATGTTAACACGATATTTTGTTAAGAATATTTTTACAAATGAAAAATTCCTTAAAAAATATCACTTTTAATTACGAAATTATCAATTCCCCAAACATATATATATATATATATATATATATATATATATATATATATATATATATATATATATATATATATATATATATATATATATATATATATATATATATCGAAAAACCTTAAACCTTGAGTTTGAAATAAAATAATTTCAAATTCTTGCATTCAAACAAGTTTGCTTTCTTTTTTATTTAAAAATTTAATATAATAAAAAAGGGTAATTAATAAAGAAACTCTGAAATTATATGCTGTCTTTTCATTTAAAATATACACAACGATCAGCTTTTAGAGCAATTATAAAGCGAACAATACATCAATATTTAAAACAAACCTACCTTCGTTAACGTCGGCGCCTCTACTCCCTTCTTTTAGCAATTCTTTCGCTTCGTTTATTTTATCAAAAAACCTTTGAAATTCACAAAATCTTGCAAATATTAAATACATTTGCAAGAAATCATCAAATCAAGAAATTTTTGCTATTTCGCTGTCGTCATGCAGTCGTTATCATGCAAATTTTAAATTTGACCAATCAGTGTTTGCTATTCATGACAGTCCGCCATATTTTTGAGATCAGTGATGATGGCCATCCACTCAACACCTTTGGCACAGAATACTACACAGAAGTCCATCTCCATTGTTTTTTGCGTAAGCATTGTTCGTCATGATTCGTCACTCAGCAAGTACCGTAAACAGAAGCAGTCACACCCCCCCCGGACATGCGTCATTTTTAGTATTTCCAAGGGGGGGGACTGCTTCTATTCACGGTACTTGCTGAGTGACGAATCATGACGAATAGAGCTTATGCTAAAAACAATGGAGATCATAGGCAGCCCACTAAACGACTGAATTTAAATTAGAACTACAATGAAATTATAAAATTCAACGAAAATAATCACAAATTAGCGAAATATATTGCAAAATGTAGCTTATATTAAATCTCCACTCGATTGACCTATCGGCGAACTGACGTATATTTAACAGTTATTCTACGAACTGGAGTCGAATATGAGCTGATAGCCGATGAGGCGCGTAGCGCCGAATCGGCTATCGCTCATATTCGACGAGAGTGAGTTGAATAACTGTTTTATTATATACACAAGGTCTGAATTCACAGACTTTGCTTTTCGAATATTTTCAATATTTTTCTATTTTGTTTATGTTTTTATCTTCGCTCTTT